CACCAATGGTGCTGACCGGGAGGGAGGTGCAGGGGTTTTGTCCAGTAATGACAGAGGGACAGCGAAATATTTCCAAGCCAGAATGAGCTATGACTTGGAAGGGAATTTGAGATAACACTTTTCCCAAGTGTCTGCTCTTTTTTGTTCTTCTAGAAGTATTTGTTGCAGGTTTGGAAGGCACTGTCAAACAAGTCTTGATGAAACATTGCAGTGCATCTCATAGATGCAACACACTACAGTCATCGTGCACCGGTGTTGAAGGAAGTGAATATTTAACCTGGTGGATGGGGTACCAATCATAGTGCTTTATACTGGCCTGAAATGCATTTATTGGCACACGGATGTGCTGTTGACAATGGTGCAATGGTCAAATGAAGTCAGAGAGAGCAAGATGGAGTGAGGATGGAAGATCTAGAGTCCATATCCTCTGAAGAAATCCTGTACAATGTAGCTGCATAAATACAATAATGTAAATGAAGAGTTTACAATACAATGGAGCAAGGAAAGTCTTGCTTCACATTAGGTACAATTGGATATGGCATTATAGATATCCAATTCCCTGAGAATTAGTGAACCAGAGAATTATATAGAAGATGAGCACTTGTACAAAGCCAGGTGACCACTCAAAGCAGTATACAAAACAACAAAGAAATACAAGGAAAGTAATAAGAGGTTGAAAATGAAGCTCATCATAGATAGCAAGTGCTCTGAATGACATGGCCATAGCCAAGAAAGTTGAGAGAATATAGTGAGAATGTAAAAATAAGATTCCCAACCTCAAGGTCAGCCTTTATACAAGTTTAAAATCTTGGCTAGTAAGCAACCTTTTTCTGTTTGAAACTCAAATGTTGAAGCATCCCCATGTTTATGGTCACTACTTGCAAGTTGCTGCATTATTGTCAGATTCTTGATTAATTCTGGCCCATTGCCCTTTACAAAGTCTAATAAGGATTATACTCTGTGCTGTCTCTAAAGGATATTGGGAGCAATATTAATCTGAAGGCAAATTCAAAGTCAGGATTGTGGAATTTCAAGGGTGACACAACCCAAACTGACTTCAGTTGTTTGGGAATGTTAGAGGTGAATCATCTTAGCCACGGGGCATCTCTGCAGGAGCTCCCAAGGGTATTATCCTTGGCCCATCCATCTTCAGCTACTTCATCAGAGACTTTCCCTCCAGCATAAGGGCAGGAGTGAGGATTTTTGCTAATAATTGCACAATGTTAAGCACACAGGGGGGTCGTTCACATGTGGAATGACTGCCAGAGGAAGTGGTGGGTGTGGGTACAATTACATTTAAATAACATTTGGATAAGTACATGAATAGGAAAGATTTAGAGGGATATGAGCCAGGAGCAGGCAGGTGGGACCAGTTTAGTTTGGGATAACGTTCGGCATGGACTGGTTGGACCGAAGGGTCTGTTTCCATGCTGTATGATTCTATGACTTTGTAATTTTCTAAAGTAATACTTGTACCACACAAATGCCAGGCAATAACAATCTCCAATAAGAGACAATCCAACCAACACTGCTTGACATTCAATGGCATTACCATCACTGAATACCCTACTATCCCAAGAATGAACACAAAAAGAAAATAAAATGTAACTGGTCCAGTTAAGGTTGCTGATAACCCCACAATATTGATGAGAATTAATTGAAGCATTCCTGTTACTATCTCAGTTGAGAACAAATAACCCACAGAAGGCTGAGGGTAAAACATTAGAACCTTCACCAGTTCCTTGTGGCTCAGTAGCTCTCCTAATTTACAGATGAAAGAATTAATTGTTTTTCAACAATGCGTGCAATTCATTTTGGACTTTTTTTTGTATGTAAAAGGAATGTTGGCAGAAATGCAAAACCTTAATAATGTGCCTGCTTGGCTTGCTGTAGTCATGTGAGATCTACCATGAGGCACTCACTGCAAATATCCATCTTTCAGCTAGTTCAACATGGCACAGTACACACAAAAATACTTTCCTGTGAACTTTTAACATGAAGTGTATTTGTATTGATGTCAGAAATGAGTTACTGAATTACAAATTGATAGGTGTACATTATATTTCAAGCCAGTAGGAAGCACGCCAAAGTCACAGTATATCAAAGGTTTGACACTGAAGATCCCTCTAACCATCCCAGCAAGCACTTCCAAGAATCGATAGTGTGGGTTACATTAAGTTAAACGTTTTTGATACATGGTCCAAGGCACATGCGATTGCCAGATGCACAGTTGGCTTTTATATTCTCTAAAATGGGGATTATTGCTTCCCATTCATATTTTGTCTTGCCAGTATTTTTCTTTTTCTGAAGGTGTTGACTCATTGCTGGGACACGAGTTTCATACATTAAGTACCCTCCTCTACCACCATGATGGGTGAGATTTACTATTCCCCATTTTATACTAGTCCATTCAAAACCGACTCAATTGACTTTCCAGAATATAATTCAGAGCACAAACTGGGGCTGATTTTCCCTCTGCTTATTCCTGATGTATGAGTTGCATTTTACTCATTATTACTTATTTGAGATAACTAATCTCTGAACATAGGAATTTGTGATCTTACTGGTCTGCATGACTATCATCCTACATGTGGAACAAGAAGAGTAATATACTGGCATGGACTGAGGACTGGTTAACAGACAGAAAACTGACTGGGAATAAAAGAAGTCATTCCCAGGTTGGCAGACTGTGAGAAGAGGGGAACTGCAAGGATCAGCACCCCAATTGTTTGCAATCTATAATCAGTGACGTAGACAAAGGGACCAAATGTAATATTTCTAACTTTGCAGAACGATACAAATCTAGGTGGGAATGTATATAGAATGCAGAAGCTTCCAAGGGGATTTAGACAGGTTAAGTGAGTAGACATGAAAATGGTAGATGACATTATAAATGTAGACCCCATGCTCACATCCTGCTGCCTTGGCCTGTCTGAAAAGTATGGGCCAGGTTTAGTTTCTGCATCCCCCTTGTCATGTAGGCCGACAGAATTCAGAATTGAAATGTATCCACCATCAATTTGCTGGAAGAGAGCTGTAGCCAGCATCCAGCTACCATGAGCGCAATTGGGTAGAGTGAAAAACTCTAAATAATAGATCATACATAAGAATAATTTTAACAGCCATATTCTCAACATTCATTATTACAAGTCTCACAGCTGGTCTGCATTGCTTAAATGATTTGAGCTCTGACAAGTTACAGCCAGTCAACAATCCTGAGCAGCTGAGGAATGTAGAGCTTTAAGCACTTCAGGTTACTATCTGTAGGGCCTTACTGACATGCTAGCCACTAATATTCCGTTACAATTGGAGCAACCATTTTTTAACCCAACGAATTAATTAAACTGATATGTAGAAAAACTCAGCCTCAGCTGTGCTCTACTGCCATATTCACCAGCTTATTCTTATTAGTATCTGATTCATCATTGCTTCAACCTGTCCACATATTCAATTCCAAAGGGAATTGGCAAATACTTTGCTGTAGTCACAAGGCATGGGCCAGGAAACAGAACAAGCCCTGCAGACATGCAAAGCATTTTAGAATGCAACAGATGTGCAGTTGCCACCAGTGAAGATGATGACTAGTTAACTTTTAGATAAAGAACTGTATTTATACAATACCTTTCACAAGTTCATGTGCATTGGAGTGATATCAATGTGCCAATATACCAAATACACCAGCTCATTTACAGTCCATAAACTCTCAATCCACAATGTGATCAACAATCATCTTTGTTATGTTGACCAAGGAATATTAGGAAAGACAGAGCTCAGTCCTCTGCCCTTCTTCAAAATAATGCCATAAACATTTCACCCACCTGACACATAACCTCCTCTAAGTGCAGGCCCTTAGTACCATGCAGGTTGAGCCCACCAGTGTTAAAAGGATAGGGAAAGTTAATGCAAATTAGATAGTCCCTTCTGTGCCTCATGATTCTCTCTCCCCCTAGAGTCAGGGACCGAGCAAACACTAGAGAAGATTCTTTTGGAAGCAGAGGATGGCCAAGGAAGGAAGTTCCAAAAGTTGCAGGTTATAAAAGAACGAAGGGAATCAGAATAAAAACAAACCAATAGCTGTTCAAGAGGCATAATTCAAGCAGGATGCAAAGGAAAGCAAGCAATGAATCTGCAAAGGGATTAAGGGTGTCACATCTGGAGAAGAGAATCATCTGTGGAAATGGTCCAGAAAGGATCACAGGAAGGGGCTACTTCACTGAACTGATTTATGTAAGATACTATAATATCCTTAGAGATTTAATGACAGCTAAACAAATCAAATTGTGAACAATACAAGAGCTGAATGTGAAACATCAGCTGGAAGATGAAACAGGTTTCAAATAGCTCCATACTTTCATATCCATGCTTTGGAGGCTTTGCAGCAAAATGACGGGTCCTGAGACTGCCACTGTGTGGAATGTGAAGACGTCTTCCAATACTCTACAGTAAATAGAGATTATCAATTTCATGCCACCATAGGTACAACTAAGTCAATATGTTGTCCTTAAAGAGTATCATTGAAAGGGATTTTAGTCCAAACTTTGAATGAAGGTACTATACAATTTGAGAAACACTGCTTGGCTGTCATTAGCAGCCAATCTATAAATTTCAGTGGTATTTGACAGCTCATATGTGGCTGCATTTCTAAATCTGACCTTGGAGTGAATGACAGATCAAAGTTACATAACATCTCACTCATCTAACACTTGCATTAATTTAAAGCATAATCGCTCCAGTTTTGTCTCAATCCTATCCACTATTCTTGATTCCATGTAATATTTTCTCCTTCAATATTAATCTTTAATTTGCTGCTGCTGAAGAGCTCCCAGGACCCTTAAAAATATCTTACCAAGAGCACTAGACTAATGGTGCATCAACATGGTGGCATCGCTGTATGGGACAATTAAGCTTGTATTATGTGCATGGGTGAAGCTCTCTCTCCCTGGTGTAACATACTGAAATCAGTTTTCTCTGATTTAGCAACAGCTTGGATGAGTGTCTTGTATATTGGAGAAAAATTTTAACTATTCCATGAAAGAGTACAAAAGGAAGAAGCCACTTAAATAGATGTCAGGTAGAAGATTAGTTACAGTAACATGACAATATAACATATTGCAAATACCCAATTGACACTGAGCACTTTAGATGCTTACATAATTCATTAAAAAAGTTAAAATATTACAATGGTTACACAAATGATCCAATAAAGAGTTAAATACTTGAAGTACTCAAATAACCAAAAGAACTGCCATTACTGACATTTAAAATTATTTAACTTATGTCCAACTATATACATTAAAAATTAACAAAGTTAAACATAAACCTAATTAATACTGAGATTTGTGGAGCAAGTATTTCCAGAGACAGACAGTCAACTATTTACAACATCAACTTTTTCCCCAATGCAGTCTTCAATCCACAGACCCTGAAAGAGGAGCAAAAATGTCTTTCTTAAAAAAAAAAAAAAAAAGAGAAAAGAGTCAGAAACAACAAAAGAACACAAATAAATCAGTTACATAGTTACCTAAGAACAATTCAGGATTTGGTTTTGTATCTCTTCATACACTTGTTGATGGATTTCCTCCTTTAATTTCAAGCCATTCAGATACACTGAAAATTAAAAATGTCAATAGCGGGTTATGTCTACTCAGCATGAAATTACAATGAAAATATTCAAGGGTATGATCTACAAGTTAAGTCTTAAACTAAGTTTGCAAGGCTATTTGGAAGAGTTCTCAGGGATCGCAGAGTTGAGGACAATATGACCAATTTGACAGCTCATTCTTCCCTGTCCCAGCACAGGATCATCACAGATAGTTTCTTGTATTCTGAAAATGTCCCTTAAGAATCAAGGCCTGCACATGCCCATTGGCAAAACATGGATCACAATTCAGCAAATAAGATAACTGCTACTCATTTGAAGCATTAAGTGTTAATTCAATTTTATGTTACAATCATCATTATAAATATACCTACCAACATTAACATTACTGTCCTCCATCTCCTTCTTGTGTTTCAAGAACATTGGCCACACATGTCCATCAAATAAACCAGGTGGATCAGGAACTGTATAATTCCTTGTACTGGGGAAAAGAAACACATTGAGCTGGTCACAACAAAAATAAAAGGAAAACAATGTTTGGATTTTCTGGCTGACAGCTTGAGCAGCCCTGAAGTAATATTTACCTCCTCCTCCTCTTGCATTCTTCATATGGAAGAGATAAGAAATAACGGAGATCAAATATGTTAGCCAATGGCCTGGAAGGGAGAAAGACAACTAGTGGTTAGATTCAAATCAAGGTTGCCTAATAACTAAAATCACAAATAACTGAACATCAGAACCAAGAGTTGACTTCTGATGAACCAGACCAGAAACTAAATAAAACTTGAGCAATAACAAAGGTTATCAAATGCCAATTATATGTACTAGAGGGTGTTTAAGTTTGTGGCCAAGGTCATACAGTGCAGTGCACTTGGAATTCCAATGTCAAAGCTCCAAACAAATTCATTTTTCTGTATCTTTTACATACAGAAAACATTGCAACTGGTTTACTTTCAGGCATTGACAACAATAAAATGCACAAAATACTTTAATCTCTAATAAAACATACTGCAATGTTGTCCCAACATGTCTGTACAATATACCTCAAATTACTACCAGTGACAAAACAGTAACCACCAATACCTCACACAAGATGGCTAATGAAGTCCACATGCTCACCAATACGTTCACTCCAGAACCCTACTGGTGAACAATTTAGCTCAAGTGGACACAATAGAAAAAAAGGTTCACAGCCTCCATTACATTTTATTGAAATCCTTGAGGTAGCATGAAAGTTTCTCAAGGTACTTTTATAAACCCTGCTTTCTCAGACTGAAATAGTGAGTTCCAGAAAACTGCACCTGTAGTTATACAAGAGGAACCCTTCCACTATCAATATGTGCACTCCTTTCTCTGGATTGCTCAGCTCATCGGAGACTGAAGTGACGTTCACTCCATGCGATCGGGCAAACTTTACTGGGTTGTCAATCCAGGCGTTGACAGTACTCATCATCGCCTCCATGTCGAGGGCAGTGATCACTGAAGGTTAAAAAAGAACCCAGCAGATTATCACAAGGACTAACACAAAAGATTAAGTAAATGTCAACGTAGATCAGTTTATTAAAAAAGTCACTGCCTACAACCATTCTTACCATCCCATTGTTTAAATCCATCTTCCCCGACGTCTATTTGATCTGGTGGCTGAAATATAGTGATCATAAAAACATGGCCACAAACATACATTTATAAATACAGTTAGGGAATAAATATCAATCTTATGCCTGTTCTCCCAAAGCCTCAATTTTTGCTGGTGTATGCTTCCAGTGCCAGCAGCTCTAGTACTTCAGATGCTATTCCTCACTGGAGAACTGAGGACTTCAGCAGACCTGTGTTACTTCCACCTGCAACCTGCTTTCACTATGCAGTCACCAGCAAAAGTCAGATAATAGACAGTAGTGGGAACTACGGCCAATTCCTAGACCAGACCCTGTCAAGTTCCTACCGCCAGTTCAGGAGCACCAGAGCCAATACAGTAGCCCTATTAACTCCCTAGCAGTATAATACACCCAAGGGTTCAAGCCAGTGACTTCACTAGCATCTTAGCTTAATACTGTACACTATTTGTTAATCAACCTTCAGGTCCAAATCTTGAAATGTACTTTAAGGAGTCACTGGCTATTACTGCCAGTTGATGACCAGTATCTTTGTTTGGATCTCAATAAACTATTATAGGGTGGAATCAGAATTATACTGCAGCTATAAGTTCTTCCAGTATTACAGGGTGCCAAAAGGAAAATATTCAACGTACCTTATCATTAAGATCTTTAATGTGTGTGTATCAGCCTCCCGCCCCTGACATTTTACTCTTCGTACCCAAGATAGGATTTTAGGCACAAGATGAATTAATTCCTCCTTAGAGCTACATAAAAACAAATAACGTTTCGATCTTTTTGAAAGACGCGTTTAAAATACTGTACTCACCTTGTAAAAGTCATCCTGATGTACCACACAGCAGTTTGGTAAATTGTAGCGAATTTTGTTGGTCAGAGTGGTTTTTCCACCGTTGGTCACACTGAAAGTGTAAACACAGAATTAACAACACGCGGAACTTTCCAAAAAGCGGCTTGGATAGGGAAAGCTGAATAAACTTCTACAAAAGGATCCTCGTATATTGGTGTTAAAATACAATAGTTTAAAATTGGAGGAAAAAATTAGAACATTACTGGACACGCAGCACGATACCTGCCCAACGATATTGCAATTTTGATTTTACATTAAGACTCCTTGCCAGTCGAGTATGTTTAAAAGTTAAGTTCTGATATTTAATATATTGTCAAGTTTATTTGCTTAAACTATTTTGTAGATGATTTTAATTATTGGATAATTTAATGACCAGATGCAAGACAAATACTAACGATTTATTTAAAACTACAATTTAAAATATTTTACATAAAACAAATAGAAACAGCTTATTAAAATATATTCATAAAATGAGATATTTAATTGCGGTTTCATAGTAACTGTTACAAGCCAGTAGGGTTTTGGATTTTGGCGCCTCCTGGACCCGAGTTGAGCGGGAGAATCAAAACTTGACCAAGACAAACTCGGGATACACAGACAAGGTCCCCCTTTGTAATACCGGATTAGTGGGACAGCATGGAGAGATACAGAATATATTTCCTGGGAAAATAACCAGGAACGTTATACTTCAGAAAGAAGGGTATAAACAAATGCTAAGTTTAACTGGACTGAACTTGTCAAATTTCAACATAGAAAAATGAACCGCAATTCAACATTGCCTATATTTTAATATGATACAATAATCTACTTTGTGATGAAAAAGCAAAGATTTAAAAATTTACAAATTTGAGTTCAAATCACTTGACAACCGTTCAACTGCGAACAAATTGTCGCCTAACAACTGCAAATTCCTCAATACATTAAAACGTTCACATCTTGGATCACAAACACCGGACACAAACGTTTGCTTCAGGACTTCCCATTTAATCGCAAACTTTTCTAACACAAATAAAACTAAACACGCTTCCTCACTGTTGGTAACATTGTATAAACCTTGTTACCTGCAATACTTACCCTCCGATACCTATAATGTATTTCATGTTGCTCCAGCAAAGGTGATTTGTTACTTTCGCTGCTACTATTTCATTCACAAATCAAGCGCCACTTGCCCCTGTATTTATACTCTCCACAGCCGCGTCATCACACGTCGCTGAGCTAGAGAGCAGGCGCTGTTGTACTGCAGCTGTCTGGCGTCACTCAACCTATCCTCAAACCAATTATAGTCTGGAATCTTTCCTTTCCTAAATCAGTAAGAAGGTATATAGATTCCAGGGACCCCTCCCCCTGAACCTCCTCCCTGGTATCTGGATCACAGCAAGTTAAAGTGAATTTTAAACGACATCAACCTTAACTAATAATTTCTTTCTTTCCTATTATTATGTGTTTCTCTGATGCTAAATCTTCGATTGTGCCCTACACGTTCTCAAAAGTGGCTGCTCTTGTCGATTCTAAATTGTATTTTCAGATTTGCTGTGGTTTCACGTGCTACCAGAGTGTCTCTATGATGCCATGAGGGAAACAGCTCAGAAGAAGAAGTTCTGTTGTGGTTGGATTACAGCTGAACCCAATCTCTGAGGAGCTAGTCGCTCTTTACGGAGTGTTTATTATCAGTCTTGCCTCCATGTCTAATTCAGAAGTGGTCTTATTCAATCTCCAGAGTCCAGAAACTGGAACATATAATTTAGGCTGACGATCCATTGCAGTGCTGCCCTGTCAGAGGTGCAATATTTCTGCTGCAATGTTAAGCCAAGGTCATGTATATTCCCTATATACTTTGATGAAAAACAAGGGAATTCTTCTAGTGTTCTTGCCAATATCTATCCCTTTGTACATACAGATTTATCTCAGTTTTCCCCTGGCTATCTCATTGCTTCTAGGACATGTAAATAATTAGGAGTAGACATAGGCTATTTAGTCTCTCTTTTCATTTATTTTAATCAACATGTTCAGTGATGTCCTCTGGAGGAGATTGAACTTGAACCCAGGTCTCCTAGCCCAGAGTTAATAACATTACCACTGTGCCACAACAGCCCCTTTCATTTAGTCCCCATAGTCTACTTTGCCATTTAATAAAATCATGACCAATTTGCATGTGGCTAAAATTTCACATTCCTGCTTACCCCTGATAACGTTTGCCTCCTTGTCAATCAAGCATCTACCTAACTGTGCTGTAAAGGAATTCAATAATCCCACCTCCATTGATTTCAGGCAGAATTCCAAAGAGTCATGGCACTCCAAATGAGGGAAAAAAAACTTCCTCATCTCAGGTTAAAAATAAGAGTCTTCCACTCAACGCAATGCCCCCGGGTTCTCATCCCTCCTGTGGACAGGAAACATCCTTTCCACATCCAACCTGTTAAATCTCCTCAGGATCTTATCTGTTTTAACAAAATCATCTCAATCTTCTAACCTCCAGTGGATACAAGCCTAATGTCTGTTCAACCTTTCCTCATGAGGTAATGCACACCCTCAACTCAGATATCAGTTGAGTGAACCATCTCTGAACTGCTTTGAATGCAGTTAAATCATTTCTTGAATAAGCATTCCAAACTGCACACAGATGTGGCCTAACCAATATTCTATGCCTCTGTAGCAAAATACCCTCATTTCATGTTCCATTCACCTTGTAATAAACAATATTCAATTTGCCGTACTAAATACTTGTAATTAGGTACTAACATTTTGTGATTCATGTACCACCACATTTTGACCCCTTTGAGTTCTGCAATTCCTTCCCATTTAAATAAAATATTGCTTCTCTCTTCTAACAAAACAGATAAATTCACATTTTCCCACATTACATTCTATCTACCAGGTTTTTGCCTGCTCATTATATTTCTTTGCAGACTCAATGACCTTCTTACAGCTTATTTTTCTACCTAACTTTATATCATCAGCGAATTGAGCAAACATAACTTCTGACCCTTCAGCCAAGTCATCTATATAAAATGGATTCTAATTAGTTGAGGCTTGAACACTGATCTCCTTGGCACACCACTCATCACATCTTTCCTACCTGAAAAATATCCCTGTATGCCCACACTTTGCTTCTCATTAGCCAACCAGTTCTCTATCCATGTTAATATGTTACCATTGACATTATGAAAATTTATTTTGCATAGCAACCTGTGATGTAACACCTTGTCAAATGTTTTTGGAAATCTAAGTACAGCACATTCCTCTTTATTTACATAGTCTGTTACTTCCTCAAATAACTCCATAAAATAGTCAAATATCATTTCCCTTTCACAAAACCATGTTGAATCTGCCTAATTGCATTAAGATTTTCTATGTGTATTGCTTTAACCTCCTTAACAATAGATCCAACATAATTCCATATGACTTTGCTGTTTGCAGATTGGCTGCTAATTTGCTCTACAACAGTGAATTTGTTACATCAACTATGAAGCACTTTGAAAAGTTCTGACGTCTTAAAAGGTGCTATATAAATACACATTCATCCTGTATTTATCACTTTATATAAGGACAAGTTGTAGCAACCCATAGAGGGCAGTTGAGGCTGGGTCTTTATGTACATTCTGTGGTGATTGTAACAAGGTCAGCCAGCCAGAGAGTGGCTAATGTTGTGCCTTTGTGTAAGAAGGGATGTAAAGAGAAGTCTAGGAATTATAGACCTGTTAGTCTGACTTTGGCAGTGGGTAAGTTGTTAGAAGTGATTCTGAAACATAGGATTTATATGCATTTGGAGAGGCAAGGAATGATTAGGGATAGTCAGCATGGCTTTGTCAGAAGGAAATTGTGTCTCACAAACTTAATTGAGTTTTTTGAGGAAGCGACCAAGAAGATTGACGAGGGCAGAGCGATAGACATTGTTTACTTGGACATTAGTAAAGCCTTTGATAAGGTTCCACATGGTAGACTAATTAGTAAAGTTAGATCACATGGGCTTCAGGGTGAGCTTGTCCATTGGATAGAAAATTGGCTCAACAGTAACAGACAGAGAGTGATGATGGAAGGTTGTTTTTCAGACTGGAGGCCAGTGACCAGCGATGTTCCATAAGAATTGGTGCTGGATCATCTTTTGTTTGTCATTTATATAAATGATTTAGAAAAAATAAAGAAAACATAGTTCGTAAGTTTGCGGATAACACCAAGATTGGTTGCAGAGTGAACAGTGAAGAATGTTATCTAAGATTACAAAGCGATCTTGATCAATTGGGTAAATGGGCTAAGGAGTGGCAAATGCAGTTTAATTTGGCTAAATGTGAGGTATTCCATTTTGGTAAAACAAACAATGGCAAGATTTATACAATTAAAAGTAGGGCCTCGGGCAGCATTGTAGAACAGAGAGACCTAGCGGTTCAGGTACATAATTCTTTGAAGTTTGCATCACATGTGTTCTGTATGGTAAAGAAGGCATTTAGCATGCTTGCCCTCATTGCTCAGATGTTTGGAGTTGGGACATTATGTTGAGGTTGTACAGGACATTGGTGAGGCCTCTCCTGGAATACTGTGTCCAGTTCTGATCTGCCTGTTAGAGGAAGGTTATTGTTAAGCTGGAGAAGGTTCAGAAGAAATTTACCAGGATGTTGCTGGGAATGGAGGGTTTGAGGTATAAGGAGAGGCTGGATAGGCTGGGACATTTTTCACTAGAGCATTGGATGTTGAGAGATGACCTTATAGAGGTTTATAAAATCATGAGGGGTATAGATAAGGTGAATGGCAGGTGTCTTTTCCCTAGGGTGGGGGTTTCAAGACTAAGGGACATATTTTTAAGGTGAGGGGAGAAAGATTTAAAAATAACATGAAGGGCAATTATTTTACACAGAAAGTAGTTTGTGAGTGGAATGAACATCCAGAGGAAATGGTGAATGCAGGTACAATTACAACATTTAAAATTAATTTAAGTAAGTACATTAATAAGAAATATTTGCAAGGATATGCAAGCAGGCAAATGGGACTTGTTTAGTTTGCAATTAAGGCCAGCATGGATTGGTTGGTCCAAAAGATCTGTTTCAGTGCTGTATGACTCTATGACTCATAGAATACGAGTTCACTGATTGGGGCTGTTGATCTGGTCCAATCTGGGAGCCCTGGCTGACATGAAAGAGTGAATGTTCAGGAATTCTGGGACCTTGAATGCCTGACTCAGTGAGAGGTAATGTTATTGTCAAAGGCTCTACATTTGTGAACAAAGGGCTATTAGTGACAGGATGCTGGCCTCTGAAGAGTTATTTCATATACAAGTGTGAAATAGACATTTTTAAATCAGTAAGGGAATCAATCATTATAGAGGTAAAGCAAAAAAAATGGAGTTGAGGATTTTCAGATCAGCCATGATCTCCCTGAGTGGTGGTGCAGCATCTGTTGGCCAAATTAGCTACTTCTGCTCCCATATCTTATGGTCGTATTTCTTCAAAACCTTTAATGTGTAGAGACAAGGGAAATGGAGGCCAGGCCAAAAAAGAACTTGGCAGGAGAGATGTGTTTTACAGAAAGTGTAGACATTTTTATAAGTTCATAAATAGGAAAGGTTTGGAGGGATACAGGCCAGGAGCAGGTGAGGGGTATAGTTTAGTTTGGGGTTATGGTCAGCATGGATTGGTTGGACCGAACGGTCTGTTTCCATGCTGTATGACACAATAACTCTATGACAGGTCAGGAATTTCATGTGACTGAAGTCAGCTTCTAAGTGGTAATTTTGTGAGGCACATGTAACAAATGAACAGGAATAGATGTTGGAGATCAACACAGCAGTGGAGTCTTCCTCATCACAGGGTGCAGGACATTCCAAGTTCTGCTTAGCTGAATATGGATGTTGAACCTCAGATTATTGATGGTGAGGACAATTTTGGAGCATTCACATAAATATGAGATTGCATCAGCACTTCTAGAGGCACTGAGAATCCTTGGAGACAATTTGGAACCATTATTCTTGAATATGCGTACTATATATCTCAGGTATCTGTGCTGTTGTCCACTTCCAAGGATAAAGTAACCACCTGCTCGGAGACAGACAACTGACCACATGTTGAACCTCATCAATGGTCTGTCAGTTCAAATGGGATAGAAAAAGCCTCACACTGGCCACTCAATACATCACTGAACCACATTAGTGTGTTCTTTAGCATTTGGCCAGTAGGGATGTTGTGTTGGCTCATGAGAAG